TCATGACGCTCAACAAACCCGGCATGGCCAACTGGTAGTGCAGGGGCGCGGCCGGCGCCAAGTGCGCCGCTCATCTGTGATTGTAACCGCACGGCGTCCCTTATTAAGTGCATGCCCGTACTGTACAAGATAATGCCAGTAGATTAGTCAATATTACAAAATCATGTGCTTTGGCCACTCGAAATTCAAAGACTTGTGATAGTGACAGAAATTAGTATATGTGCTCAAAAGACAATCAATCCACAAAATAATATTACATTCAAGTATTCGAGGACCTTCTTAGTAAATGTGGCATTTTGTACTGATGAAGATAATTTTCATTACAAGCTATTAAGGAATATATATTATTAAGCAATAACCTCTAGGATAAATGTTTTGATATTGACAATTATGCATAAGTAAGTTAATGTGCTTAGGTTTTATATTATGTTGCAATTGATAATTTCTAAAAGAAAATGTAATTGAAATCAACTATTAATTCATATATGCCATATTGTTTATAATGTTAAGAAGATAGTTGGGTGATGATTATAATTAATTGGTTACATAATTATTTTTATGATATTAACAAAGAAGAAATGCCATGTTTGACAGGTTATAAATTATTATAACAAACATTCAACTCAACACAATTAGAATTAATGTAAAATTACTCTTCAATTTACATTCGTAAGGTTCATTCACTTAACAAATTGGCATTTAGTCAAGTCACTTTGTATCATAATTATCACACCAAACTACATTTTTATTAATGGATAAATCCTAAAAATTTGGTAATATTTATTATTTATTTGTTATGTACTATATTATTTACATGTATAAAGATATAACTGTGCATATTGAAAATATATATTTGACGACTTTTATTTGAAATCCTTAGCCCAATAAAATATGAAAAACATAAAGTCATTTTATTGTTAATAAGACACTTCAATCTTCTAATAACTGCCACAAAAACCAGTAAGAAATAAATCCTAGTTATTTTATAATTAAAAACACGCACATAACACTTTTAACTACTTTTTTCGCCGAGGGGTAGCGGTGGTACTTGTTTGGTGTATGTTAAAGTCGAAAATCGCTTGCAACCTTTTGTTTTTCATAACAATAGTAGATAAATATGTATATATATAAAGTAGTGATATTATGCTCAAAATGAAAAGTACAGCAATAAAGTTCCTAATACTAGTACTAATTATAAGGGTGCTGAAGTTAATTTGGTTTAGTTAGGTGCATTAGGGCTATAATTCTCATTTTGGCAACCGACTCCCTAATGGACTACTTCTCAACTGGGCAACTTCTCACTTGGACTACTTCTCATTAGAGCAACTTCTCAAAATTTGGGAATGTTTATTGACCCAAATAAGGGGCTATTCCCGCTAGGTATCGGTAAAAAAAGTTTCGTTCGTTTGCAGTGTCCATGAATACTGGTTTTTAGTTTAAAAATATGGAAATAATAAAACATGTCAATGATTTTTAAAATATTTTAATGGATTATGTGAGATCTTTAAAACACAATTAACTAGAAAAAAAATAGCCTTATCATGTGCATAACAACCATTTTACACTTTGATAAGTAATAAAATTGTGACACTGATTGGACATAAATCTAAATTAAATTAATACAGTATGTAAATTTGAACGACGGACTTATTGAAGGAGGGTGGTCAGTATTCGATTCTCGTCCCAAATATGTAAAAAAACTATGACCTTAATTTTTGATCTAATTGTCCAATAAAATACAGTGTTCATGAACACAGAGCGCAAAGCGAACTCGGAAATAGTAGACTGCCTACATAATTACGCGCCAAACATGTGCCGCTCCTGTCGCTAAGGAACCGAGCGCGCAAGCCCCGCCCCTTTCCTCTGTTATGTCGCCGACTGTGTCACTGATAATAGAAAACTCAACTCACTACATCCGTGCCAGAAAGGAACCGGCATTGTTGCTTCCAATTTATAGTTTGTCAAGTCTGATTATTCCAAAGTCTATGGACACAAGCATTGTCACTATGGACATTGACCAATCAGAGAGCAGTGTGTTATTTTACGTATTTCAAAGATCGTATATTTAAAAGACTTTCTATGATTGGTCGAACCATGTAAAATCTTACGAATAGATATTCGTTAGTTTATAAATTTACCGTATGACGTCGGAAATTGATAAATTTACGAAAATGTGGACGTAAAATATTACAATTTATCTCCCGTTTAGAATCTTACGAAAGTTTATAAACTTCCTAGTAAATAGATAAACTTACGGATCTTGTTATTTTCCGGTGACAGACACAAGCATTGCCACTATGAACATTGACCAATCAGAGAGCAGTGTGTTATTTTAAGTATTTCAAAGATCGTATATTTAAAAGAGTTTCTGTGATTGGTCGAACCTTATAAAATCTTACGAATAAATATTCGTTAGTTTATAAATTTACCGTATGACGTCGGAAATTGATAAATTTACAAAAATGTGAACGTAAAATATTACAATTTATGTCCCGTTTTTTTAATTTTGATAAACTTACGGATCTTGTTATTTTCCGGTGACATATATAAATCATGTTCATTCATTCATAAAAGATCAATTATGTACCTATATATGAACGTGAAAAACTCAAAATTACTGAATTTTCGCAAAGTCATAGAGTGGAATTCCGGAACAAAATTGAAGTGTGTACAATTATTCCAGTTTTATCCTCACGGTCGAAGCTACGGGGTAAAGCTCATCAAAAATACGCGCCACTTTAAGTCGACGTATGTATGTTTATTGCGCTCTTTCGCGTAAACTGCTGAATGTCGTAATATAAGATTATACATTCGGATAGACCGAGACCTCTTTTTTTTGTGAGGGGAAAATCATCAAATGACTTCTCCCGCGCAGGGCCGGGCAGGAGGGAGTTTCAGACTCTTACTGACTAAAAACCCCCCTGTTCCTTCTCCTGCTCTGTGCCGAGGTCGCGGTACCTCATTGCGCTTACCCCGCAACCCTGGCCTTACCCCGCAACCCCGGCCTTACCCCGCAACCCCGGCAGACCGAGACCTTAAGGTTAGGTAAGTATGTTTCAGGTAAATACCAGGATAAAGACCAAGATTATCTAGACGTCAACAGTCATAAGGAAAACCTTGCGTTGAGTCAATAAATGAGTCTGTCCTTGTGTAAAAACTTGCTCAAAGTCGGTTCAAAAATCTGCCAAGACGGTAGCAAAACAGCTTCCGACTGAACTGGGTGTAAGCAGCCGCCTAGGCACTCCTGCAACGACAGGTGGTATCACGATGGTTTGCCATAAAAACCACCACAGATGGGATTCACAAAGGTCGAAGGTCGAGGTTTAAATTTAGAGGTGTAGTTGGTACGGAGATATCCTCTACACACCCCACCAGAACCGGACTCGAGCTTTTTTGTAGCCATCCGAACTTGGTCGGGTTATGTAGGTTTTCGATGCTTCGTCAGTATTATAATTGTTTTTCTTTAATTACTAAATTTAATGACATGAAATTTTGCATGTGAATAGTTGAATGAATACACTAATTATTGGCATACATTTTACCATGCAATTCATTTAGAAATTTCGTGATATTTGACTGCTTTGTAAACAGTGATCTATTCATGGTAAATTTGTCCTATATCTATTTAATTACTAACGGAACATCATTGATACTTGGCAACATGTTGCAGACACTTACAACTTGTATAAACGTGAAAATCTAGACCCCAAAGTGCATACTTTAAGAACTACGACCTAATAAGCGTATTTTACGTTTATATTTTTATCTTTTAAATCCTACGATTTTTTCTAAATCTGTTTTTTAAACAAATATAAACAAATTCAAAACAACGTATATAAAAATCTACAGCTCTCTATGTAAGCGCTTTATATGATTAAACTAGCTAATGGCCAAACGTTCGCGTAGTGGAAACTTGAATTTCTCAGAAGTTTATGCATGCACTAGTTTTATTCATACATACACAATTACACACAAATACACACTAATTTTTGGATACATCTCTTTTCTTCTAGTCTATGGAATAAAAAAAGTTCCAGGCCAGCTGGACAACGTTCGCCCAGCGGAATCAGTTTTTGGTGAATTTCTCCACAATGGTTGCGTGCACAAATTTTTTTTTACCATACACAATTATACGACGTCATACACTAAATATCTGCATAATTAAAATCTTTAAATTCAACAACATTCCGCTGCACGAACGCACGCAGCGTTCCGCGCGCGCCTCAAAGAGCCAATAGACCACCATAGACGGGCTCAACACGGTCAAGCACACCAAGGAGGAGGAGTAAAGGATCAGTTTTTAGTCGATGAGAATCTGACCCGCCCTCTGTCATACCCAAGACGGGAAAACAAATTAAACGATAATGCCTATCAAGTTTATTTCTAGTTTAAGTAGGTACTTAATCCATTCATACGATAATAGCATCTTTTATGCATAAGATACCCAAGCTTCGGCACTAATAGTTCGATCGAAGTGACACCACGGCCTCACAGTACACCGTCGTGACTGTGGGAGAGCCATGCTTCGGCACGAGTGGGTCGGCTCGACCGGAGTGATACCACGGCCTCACAGAAAACCGGCGTGAAACAACCACAGCGTTGTGTTTCGCCGTGTTAGTGAGGTCATCGGAGGCCTAATCCTTTCCCTCCCCAATTCCTTAATCTCCAAAACCCTAATCCCTAAAAGGTCGGCAACGCACTCGTAACTCCTCCGTTGCGAGTGTCCATGGGCGGCGCTGATTGCTTAACATCAGGTAATCCGTCAGCGCGTTTGCTGATCATTTACATAAAAAAAGCTGCATATCTTCATTCCAGTTTTAAAGATTTAACCTTACATAGGTGTATAGGGACAGCAGAGCAGCAGGACAGCAGCAGACAGTGGTTTCATTAACCTATGAAGGATATTTTTATGGCTTTCTTACCATTTGGTAAGAAACATATTTTTTTTTCTTTCAATAAAAAATATATCATTTATACTCAGTTTTATTTATTAAAATACATCAGGAAGGCATCAATTTTGCACTTGATAAACCCTCTGTTTCTTTAGATGATAGAGGGGCTAACATCAGTCCAGGAATAGGCTTTTGCATTTCCAAATCTCTTAGATTATTAACTTTAACTTTGAGGTCACTTCGAAGCTTGTTTATATCAATGTTTAGTTGTTTTTGATCATCCTCTAACAATAACCTTGCATCATCCAGATTATGTTTGATTAATACTGATCCGACGGTAATCCAACATTTCTTCTGAGATGATTTAGACAAATCCCTTAAAGCTTCACGGTTTTGGTTTCTTCTTTTATCAAGCATAACAATTTCATGTCTATCTGATAAAATTTCATTGGCTAATTTCTCCACCGATACTAAATGTTCCAACATTTTCTCTTCATTCTGCATCATTTTTACTTTCTCTGTAACATATTTTTTGATAAATTATTATGAATAATCTAAAACTTAAGTGTCACCTTTCACTTAATAATAATTACAACCAGCATAATTTACGAGCCCTAATAAATAATAATTTCATAATATAATGCTGCCTTAATGCTTTGTTTTAGTAAAGCTTAAAAATAAAGTTTAGTGGGTTTTTTAATTAGCCAATATAATTTTTGTTCTCGAAAAATATAACCACTGAGCAAATAATCACTACGTTAAAATATAACTTAATATACTATAGTACTAACAATTAAAATTAAAGGCTTTTTATTTCCACTTTGTAGTTCGTACTTTTATTTTATTTTTATAATTGTCACGAGTTGCCTCCTTTTTTTTTTGGATTTGGATTTTATGGCCTGGATACAAGACCTTTAAGTCAATGAGTTGCTGTCTTCAATAGTATGGGGACAGATAATGTTTGACCACAAATTGTGGGAGAGATTTGACTAAAGAGTATTTAAACACTACGCTCTACACTTGTCACCGATACATTTCTTTGCAATGAAGTTCAGTCGTACAAAAGTTTAGAGACACTACATGTGTGATTAGGCACAACGAGTAAAGTAATATAATGGGTAATTAGGCATGTCGTATCACGACCAAAGATAAACACTACGTTTGACAAAATCAAAATGTATAAAACCTGGCATCTGTCCTGTAAAGCTGTTCGCTTTACAGGACAGATGCAAATAAATTTCAGATATTGGTCTTATGGAAAAAGTTGTTTTATTTGAGCACCAGAATCGAGTACTTGAATGTGATCTTGTTCAAAATAACACCCTGTAGATATCATAGGTTATAATGAGAAGTTAATTTCGGTAGGTATCTATTTTCGGCGGGCAGAAACGCCCGGATGACGTCATTGTGAAGACCACACGGTGGCGGTTTGTCCTTCTTGGGCTGAGCACGGCCGTGTCCTTCAGAAATGATCGGTGGTGGCGAACTCTCGTGTCCGGCCTTAGTCGAAGCCATGGTCACTCAAGGCATCGGAGATCGACCGACCATCTCCGGCCACCGTTAGTGCAGGTTTGTGGACGGCGAGCAAGTGTAACTTTAGAACCAAACCCGTGCCTCAAAGGGCCAATAGACCACCACAAATAGGGCCCAGCAGCCTAATACGGCCGGTGTTCAGTCGGGCTTCCAGGTCAAGTGCCATAATTTAACCTTAATTTAAGGTACCACGGCGCCAGCCTGAATCAGGAACGGAACGGAAGAAAGAACTGAACTGGAGAAGGACGGAGGGGACCGTGTCCATAAAAATGCAAGTTAGTTTCTAACTTGTCACAACAATCAACGTCAAATTGCATTGTTATTTCTGAAAACGAAACTTTAATAAATACAAAAAAATAAGTAAATCGAGCCATATAATAAAAGTAATAATTATTTTTATTGAAATAATTTTTATTTTTGACTCAAGATACTACCCACTTCAAGTAAAGTTGCCGTTAGTGTGGCCCTCACATATTGCTTAAACGTAGTGGTTACATACTCTTTGATATTGCTGTGAATCTATGAATTAGAACGGAAATCCGCCTTCGGCGGATATCGCGATCCGCCATTTTGATTACTACTTCAGTCACAAGCATTTTAGCGTTTGCTTTTCATTTCAATTCGCAAGTCTGAAACTAATGGCTGCCGGTATCGACGCTTTTCGAATTCAGGCAACTTTTTAAGTTGTGTTTTGTAATTTAAGTACAATAATAAACAGTTAATAACTTTAAGTTCCATTTACCGCGTATTGCTGTAATTCCATTCGCGTTTTAAGAAGATGGATGGGCCACCTAACCGTGGTTTTCGTGGTGGTGGCCGTGGAGGACCACCGGGTCTAAATCAAAGAGGCAGAGGCGGATTTGATATGCGTGGACGGTAAGTCAATACCTATTTCAATTCATAATATAGACTGGACAGTAATGTATTCTGTTTTTTATAGTATTCATAATTTTAAGGTTATGTGTTCCGCTACGATTTTATTGTTCGGTGTATGAATATCCTATTTTAATGAGTAATCGACTGACTGATTAGGGGCGGCCCCGGAATGCGAGGCAGGGGTGGTCCTCCGCGAGGCCTACCTTTCCGTGGCGGACCGCGCGGTTTCCGAGGCGGTCCAATGAGAGGTGGTGGCGGCGACAGAGGTGGCCGATTTCCTCCAGGCCCCCAGGGTCCAGGACCACATCCTGTTCCCACTATTGAATCGCGTGGAGCACCACCACAGCGTAAGGCTTAGCTTACCTATTCAAGTTATTGAACCCCATATTATTTAAATGTAATTGGAATAGAATATTATGTTTAATAAATGGAATGCCTGTAAGTCTGTAACACCGCATGAACTAGTTGAAGATAATAATAATATGTATTATGTGTATACTGCAAATGTGTATACTATAAAATACAAAAACCTGAACATTAATACTAACTTATATGTTGTGTTTCACAATGTCTTGCAGTCGTAATTCTGAGTACCATTATTTGCCATTTAAACTTGTGTAATTTAAGGATTCCTGAATGCACACTAGTGAACTATGTTATACTCTGCCCCTAAGGGCACTGACCTACCAAGTCTCTATGCCCAGGTGGAGGATTTAATAACAGAGGTGGTCCTGGTGTCATGAGAGGCAGAGGAGGTAGAGGCCGTGGTGATTTTGGTCAACGAGGTGATAGGGGTGGTGGTCGAGGCGGTATGCCAATGAGAGGTAAATACGTGTCAATTGTATTCAAAATGTCCAGTACAAAATCTTTTTACATTATCAATGAACTTTTTATGTTGTCAAATCTCACTAGAATTAGTACTTTATGTTACTTCTTTACACAGGACGAGGTGGACGTGGAGGTCATGGGATGCCTCCAGGTGGCCCTCCTGTTGGCCCAGGTGGACCACACCCAGGTCCAGGCCCTGTAGGCCCACGTCCTGCACCTCCACATGCTGCTGTATCTGCACCGCCCATACAGCCTCAACCAGCACAACCCTTTAAGAGAGGTGGCGGACCGCCTCATGGTGGACCTGGAGGACCAGGTGGTCCACCTAAAAGGCCAAGGTAAGCTTAAGTAAATTCATAAAACTGAACAAAGCAACAAAAAACAAACAAAAATGTGTCAAAATATTATTTAAAAATTCTTTAATTTTAAAAGTTATTTAAATATTATTCGTATGAAAGTCATACAGAGTTATTATTATGTATTTCTTTTCAGGTTTGATGGACCTCGTGGTGGAGGTCGTCCACCTCCTCAAGGTGGATATCAGCAAGCTGCTCCACCACATAATGCACCACAACCAGCCAATGGCTATGGACCATCGTGAGTATTACAATTTATACTATTTTATTTGTATATTTTCTCATGATGATCCAGAAAACGATAGGAATGTGCCGTCTGAAACATAACTGACGATTTTCTTTATCTGATGACTATAATAATCTGCATACTTTCATTTTTATGTAATATGGGACTTAGCTATATAAATTTGTAACAGGCACACTGGTTATCAGCCTTATGAGCCACCAGCAGCTGATCCTTATACACAGCCATCATATAACACACCCAGGTGAGCAAACTTCTGTAATAGTACCATTATCAAAAACAGAATAGAGGAGTTAAATAATATTTCCTACATCACTCAACATGTCAAGAGATTTATTATATGGTATATTTAAAAAATACCTTGAATAAAAAAAATTTAAACAATGATGAAACAAATCTATAAGATAGGAATTGCCGTCTGATACACAAATGCAGATAATATAGATTCTGAGAAAACTACTAAACATCTAAAAATAATACTTTTTAATAAGTTACAATATTTAAGTTGTGCTTCTCTTGTGATTTTTTTCTAGTTCATATCAAGGCAACAGTTACTCAACGCCAGCTCCAGCACAAGCAAATTCTGGATATAATTCTAGTAGCTATGGCTCAGGTTATGGATATTCAACGGGTGGCCAAGGTGGCTATGAAAATGAGGGTGCATACAGGTTAGTTTGTTCATTTTTTTATATTTTTTTGTTTGTTAGTTTTTAGCATGTAATGTGTTTATGTAGACCATTGTTAAAAAAGGGTCTGTAAGCTTCCCATATACAATGTTTCGTGTTAAAAAGCAGCAGCTATAATGGCATATATTAATACTACAGTGGAGGTGGGGCTGGCGGAGCTGGTGATGCTGGCTATGGCGGTGCTGAGCCTGCATATGGTGGCCAGGCACCTGCTTATGACTCCTATTCTCAGCCCTCTTACAACTCCTATCAACAACCACAACCACAGTATAACAATAACTATGGTAAGTATTTATAATACTAAATTAGTATAGGAGTCTATTCTAATCAGGGCATTCCTATTAAAAGAAATGCTCATATGTGACTAATGGAATACTTAATGAATTGGGCACTTTTCTATATTTAAAGTTAATAGATTTGATTTTTCAATTAAACAAAATAATACAATACTCGATTTTACAATGATGCAAACAAATTTTCATACTTTTCTAGCAAATTAAAAAAAAGTACACTTTTTTCACAATTTAGGTCAAATCCCAAAAAGACCAGAATAAATCACACAAACTCGTAAATTATTTACAATATTGGAATGGAAAGTTCCCAATGTTAGGAAATAAAACAATTTCAGAGTAATTGCCTAACAATTACTCAGAAATAATGTTTTAGAGACCTCTTATCAAAGATTTAGAGAGCACCAAAACCTAGATACAATATAATACCTAGATATAATAAGGTAGAAAATTGACAGTATACACTAAACACTAGTTTCAAATTATTAAATGTATTTATGAATAAAATACATAGTAATTTCTGAATGATTACATGAAATATATTAATTCATACAATTAGGTATCATCTGTTGAATTTCAATAATTCTTAGTTACTTTTTAAATACATGAGACTAGCTCAGATATCAGTGATTTAAAAAAAATGTAATTAAGTATATTTATAATGATTTTGAAAATAAATATTACTTAAAAACAAATATATTAATTTAAAATATTAAAATAATATTTTCAACAACAGTGTGGTTTATTACCAGACTGTCTGTCAATAAGGGTGTCTTGGCAATAAGTGATGTCAAACCTTTGTATGTTGTTTTAATTTATGCAAAACTTTCTAATTTGAAGAATTATGAACCATCCTATGGGTTATCTACATTAAAGAAAAGTCTTATTCATTAACAAAAGTGAATTATACCATACACTTCGGTTTATGTATATGATAAATTAAGTGTAATCCAAGTGGCAATTTCTACTAGTTATAGTATAGTAGTATTGGTACTAGTTATTTCATATTACTATATTGCTTGAAATTACTTTCATATATTTATTTAATGAGGAACATACAGATCTGTCTTCTACCAATATGTTATAATAATAAATTTTAATATAATACTACAATCTTATATTAAGTTTAATATTAAACACTGTGGATGAGTTTTGACATCTATTATAATTGTTTGCATTACAGGCAGTTGGTGATCTGTTTGACTATACAGAATATCATTTACGTCTTTATGGTACACATTCAAAATAAAGTATCTGGATCAAATTATTGAAGCTAATGGATGTACTACTAAAAACATTGCAGTTTTATTCATACATTATGTTTTAGTTAGGTGTGAGTTTGGACAGAATGAGATATCGTTTGTATATGACTGAATGAGACCATTGAGAAGATACAATAAAAATTGGGTGAATTTCTTATATAAATTTTAAAGTGAACTATTTTCAATTTAATTATAATTTCTAATAATTAGGACACTTATTTTACCAAGCAATTTTCATATTATTGCATTATTAATTGTAGCAACTTCTACTTTGGCTCATTTTTTGTAAAAATGGTATGTTGAAGTACCATAATGTTTTTAGATTTAAGGACTATTCACAAATAAAAAAATGAACTAATATATAAATGTGTATGCTTTATTTAAATATTGACAAGTATAAACTTGCGAAGCACTAACTAGATCTTAGATTATTTCAGTCACCATCACAAACTTACAATGAACATCACTGTGCATAAGCACAATTTTTGCCAACCATTTTAAGAAAGAGTAAATTATTTTTAAGATGATATTATTTATACAGGAATAAAAGTATTAAAGTCTGGATAACCATGCTTGAGGAAAAAGAAATGAGAAAATATACCACTTGCAAAAATTTTAAGATTGGTAAATTCCAAATAGATGGAATGTCTGAAGGTATAATGTCAATTAGAAAGTGATTAGCAACTGTTTAATATTTTGTTATCTTAAGCAGGTTACTAACTAAATTATTATAATTTCAGGGTTTATTATAAATAATAAATGTTTGTCTTAGGAACAAGACATACAATAGTCAACTGTATCTTTTTTACAAAATAATATGAATCCCTAAATTAAGGTTATGATAGATTTTTATATTTATATATAAATTCTAGACTACAGTTGACCTAGTTGACAAAAATATTGCATTGAAAGTAAAACCTACACAAAGTATAATTTAAAAAAGTATATAACAACAATGATTACAAAGAAAAAATTAGGCGAAGAAAGATAAGTTGCGATTCAATAAGTTCAATTTAAATTTAAAGCTAAGTTACATAATTGTAACTAAATATTTATATTTAAGTTTAGTGATGAATTTATTTAAAACTTTAAATTGATGTGTTTTTACTTTCGATTAATATCTGATAATTAATAACTGATAATTTACTACTAGGTAAATCTTATTGAATAATAGGTTTGAATCTACAGCACGAGAGAACCTTATTTTCTATTGCCTACCGGTATTGAAGATATGTATTTATCATACGAAATATAACAGTACAGGTAATATTATTACTATTATTTATTAATTTTAAATTATAGAAATAACAGGTTGTCCATAGCTTGGTAAATTTGTAAGTATGTAGATTTAATAATATGTTATGAATGGTTGGAAACAACTTCATTGTTGTATTCCTGGGAATGTTGTTATCAACTCATAAATTTGTATTAAATTTATGGTACAAATATACAAAGAATCGAAAAGGTTTCATATAGACAACAAACATTTTGAAAAGTCACCACAATGAAGTTTGTTTATGGTGGATAGTTATAGTTGGGAATTTGGCAAAAGATAGTTGAAACAGGATATTAGGTAGGAGAATACTAATTTCAACCTTAATTTCCAATATTATCCAAAATAATTGATGATGAGTGTACAAAATTTGAAATTCCGTATTAAATAAAATTCATAATTAAGTAGAATCAGTTATAATAATATAAGAACACAAGTTAGATAACAAGAGAAAATGGTTTTAGCAGATAAAGAGATTTAGAACTATGCATACACTGCCAAGTACATCCATGAGAGAATAAATGTTCAATATTTATATTATTAAAATAAGGTGCAATGCGTAACTTTAGAACAGTTTTACAATAAAATAAGAAAAAATACTATTCAAGTCCTATTCAATCCGTCATTCCGTTATATTTCGTAAGAATTCATCCAAAATTTAAAGCTTGTTTGTTCACAATTTATATCTAATTTCTATATTATAATATTTCATTACATAAGGCAAGAAATATTTTTGAAATAAAAATGTTGATAGTATGGCAGCAAAAGCTTTATTATAAATTAAAAATATAATGTGTAGGTACCAACATAAAACAAATGATTACACAATGCAATTTGGTGTGCATGTGTAGGTAATAAAATATAGTATTAATTATTGAAATTAAATTGTCTCTGCAAAAATACAATATAATTAGTTTAATGTAGATTCCATTTTTGCTCCACCTTTAAAACATTTATATGATATATTAACATTTTTATGTAATTTCAGGAATAAGATGAAATTAATTGATACATTTGATCAATTGATGATAATAATAATGTGGAAGAAACTACAGCACAATGACTAAAGAAAAATGTATCTTCGACTTCAGGTAATTTTGAATTATCTTCTCACTGAATGACAAAAATAATATGAGAGAAATTAACTAACTACAAACATTTATTAGGGTCAGCTGGGTCATGAGATATATTATCTCCACTCTTGCTGTAACAGAACTATTCTAATACACAGTCACTGAGAGACTGCTAATTTCGAAATTTTAATTCAAACTGCCGACAAAAACTGTAAACCTAGTTTGTAAGTTCACATTGAATAGAAAAAGTTGCTGTTCCCGTAAGATTTAAGGTCACAACTCATTAGAGCCACTCGGCCCTTTCATTGCATCGCCTCGTCGCACATCCACTCATTGGCGACAGGTAGTCCACGGGTGAACGTCGCGTTATTACTAATAAATGTCCCGTCAAGAAGTGAATGCCGACTGGTTGAGTGGACGCCGCTTGATCCACGAATTTTTGAGTAGTCCTTAATTATTAAGGCACTTACGGTACCGCGCGTTGCCCTGTCAACGCAAGGTAAGCGTAGTAAGTAATTATCCACCCGCTGCCTGCGCGTGAAGGCGCTTAAATCCGAGGCGTTCTCGTGAGGCTACGGAGTATATTTAGTATGCACGCGAATACAAGACCTTACCATATACGAACACTAGCCTAAAGAGGCGAATCGGTGCTTAGTTAATGCCGGGTGGCTCTAATGACGGGTGACCTCTAAGGACGATAAGAACCAACAGTAAACGTGTGAGACCCCTCTGTTCAATGTCTAAATATATTACTTTTTTCTTTCCTTTCACGGGACAACAGGGTCCCGGACCTTGGAAGGCGTACGAGGAGCCGAAGCCAACTCGCAGAGGCCCGTTAAACAGTTTTAATCTAAATGTGATGGGACATCAGCCGGCAATTATCCCTGTATGCACTATATAAGTGCACCGAAGGACAATCCCCGGTTGATGCAGGACTATTGTAAAATGTGGTAAAAATTGATAGGGTTATAGGTATGGGTTGCTATTGACTGGTGGATATGATAACTATGGAAATACTATGGGCCCTCCCCCTGACCAATATTGATACATACGGATAAACTTACTTTTTTTATTATTATAATAATTATTGTCCACAGACGGAGAGTTTCCGGTGAAAGAGCAGACAAAAAGGTGGCAATGATTGTAACTTTTTAGATAATTATATGAATATCTAAATTACATTTGCTTTTTCATTTTAAAATACTTCATTTTGGTTTCTGATATTTTTTTGACATCTCGGATAAAAAAGAGCAAATAAAAATAGTAGCGACGTGCCCTAGAGTTGGCCGACATAAAATCAAGTTTGTCAATGTCCACCGAAGAGAATATACCTCTACAATCACATCTTGTTTCCAAACACGAAAATGAAATCGAACCATGTAGTGTCTTTTTGTACCGAATCATGACAAAAATCTGTCGTCGGAGACAATAAGTTAGACAAATACTAAACAAATAGCAGTTCTAAATTCTTCTTTCGTCAGAAAGACTTAGTAAAAGACGTGTCCGTTACCCAGGCCAGATGTTGTCGACAATGGTCATTTGAATCTTATAGATAATTAGTTGTGCGGCTTCTGTAATTGTTGCGCACATTTTTAAATTTGTTGCGCTTATAGTTTTTTAATTATTTCACAAAAACATTTCCTGCTGGCGTAACGTTACCACAGCCAGACCTTTTTCTTTCTAATGGGAATATTTAAATAAATATTAGCTATAAAATTAGCTGTCTAGATAAAGTAAATGTTGTGCCTTATTTTGTATTTGTTCTTTCTTCGGTTGCGAAGTTATTCGAGATTTTGCTGCGGTAACGTTTTTGGTTTTGCTAGATCTTTGAAATGGTTAAGCGGATTCTTATCATATTTTGTACACGACTTCCGAGGACTTAGTTTAAATTTGTTGTGCAATAACAAAACCAAAATAATGCATATTTTAAAGGTTTTTTCATTAAATAGAAAAACACTTCAATAGGCCCCAGCACTCTCAATAAGAAGTCTAAAGACTTACTTTAAACGTAATTTTAAGGCTTGTAACTGCTTTCAAATGTATGTGAAGTTTCATTAGTATCCCGTAAGTATTTAACAAGTTATGATGATATTCAGTTCTTCACGAGCACGGTCTTAATGCACGCGGTGTTATTTGGCCACTGGATTGGATATATGAACTGAATGTTATGTCAATAATTAGTTGTTTAGATCAGTTGTATATCAGTAAAATTTCAGCTCAATACATTGGATAATTAATGAGATAATACTATGAAAGTCATTAGGAAGTGAATGACCGTGGTAAGCCGACCAAGTTTAGGTGGTTACGAAAAAGCGAAAACGCAGAACATTGTACTATCTTTTGAAATGTTTAGTATAATACACCTTACAATTTTGGTACAGACGCGTACACTGTTTAATACCTATATAATAATAATATAAAAGAAAACATTATCTTCCAGTTCCACAAAATTATCAAAAATCACCGCTAGAGCATGCCGTTCGGTAGGACGCAGGAGGAGTGGGGTGAAGGGGTAATACATTGTTTGCTTATCGCACTCGAGTCTTGCCAGGTTACTTTAGTAACCTTTTTTTAGATGATTTTTGAACTGCATTTTGAAATAGAAATGACAAGGACGGGTGATGTTTAATCGGTTGCTAAGCAACACAAGTTTTTTTAGGTAAGGGAGTAAAAGTTCAATTGAAATGATTATTTTACCTTTCAATAAAAAATCTTGAATATTCATGTAGTTTTTTTTTAAACTTTTGTACATGTCTGTACTAAATTTATAACACTATCCTACATATTTTAGAAGGTACCATAATGTTCTGCGTTTTCGCTTTTTCGTAACCACCTAAACTTGGTCGGCTTACCACGGTCATTCACTTCCTAATGACTTTCATAGTATTATCTCATTAATTATCCAATGTATTGAGCTGAAATTTTACTGATATACAACTGATCTAAACAACTAATTATTGACATAACATTCAGTTCATATATCCAATCCAGTGGCCAAATAACACCGCGTGCATTAAGACCGTGCTCGTGAAGAACTGAATATCATCATAACTTGTTAAATACTTACGGGATACTAATGAAACTTCACATACATTTGAAAGCAGTTACAAGCTTTAAAATTACGTTTAAAGTAAGTCTTTAGACTTCTTATTGAGAGTGCTGGGGCCTATGGAAGTGTTTTTCTATTTAATGAAAAAACCTTTAAAATATGCATTATTTTGGTTTTGTTATTGCACAACAAATTTAAACTAAGTCCTCGGAAGTCGTGTACAAAATATGATAAGAATCCGCTTAACCATTTCAAAGATCTAGCAAAACCAAAAACGTTACCGCAGCAAAATCTCGAATAACTTCGCAACCGAAGAAAGAACAAATACAAAATAAGGCACAACATTTACTTTATCTAGACAACTAATTTTATAGCTAATATTTATTTAAATATTCCCATTAGAAAGAAAAAGGTCTGGCTGTGGTAACGTTACGCCAGCAGGAAATGTTTTTGTGAAATAATTAAAAAACTATAAGCGCAACAAATTTAAAAATGTGCGCAACAATTACAGAAGCCGCACAACTAATTATCTATAAGATTCAAATGACCATTGTCGACAACATCTGGCCTGGGTAACGGACACGTAAAAGACAAATAGATATCGCAAAGTATAAAAGAAACAAATACATATCGCAATTGGGCGTGCGTTCGTGCAGCGGAATGTTGTTGAATTTAAAGATTTTAATTATGCAGATATTTAGTGTATGACGTCGTATAATTGTGTATGGTAAAAAAAAATTTGTGCACGCAACCATTGTGGAGAAATTCACCAAAAACTGATTCCGCTGGGCGAACGTTGTCCTGGCGGAACTTTTTTTAATCCATAGACTTTAGAAGAAAAGAGATGTATCCAAAAATTAGTGTGTATTTGTGTGAAATTGTGTATGTATGAATAAAACTAGTGCATGCATAAACTTCGGAGAAATTCAAGTTTCCGCTACGCGAACGTTTGGCCATTAGCTAGTTTTCATATAAAGCGCTTACATAGAGAGCTGTAGATTTTTACATACGTTGTTTTGAATTTGTTTATATTTGTTTAAAAAACAGATTTAGAAAAAATCGTAGGGTTTAAAAGATAAAAATATAAACGTAAAATACGCTTATTAGGTCTTAGTTCTTAAAGTATGCACTTTGGGGTCTAGATTTTCACGTTTATACAAACCTTGTAAGTGTCTGCAACATGTTGCCAAGTATCAATGATGTTCCGTTAGTAATTAAATAGTTATAGGACAAATTTACCATGAATAGGTCACTGTTTACAAAGCAGTCAAATATCATGACTTTCTAAATGAATTGCATGGTAAAATGTATGCCAATAATTAGTGTATTCATTCAACTATTCACATGCAAAATTTCATGTCATTAAATTCAGTAATTAAAGAAAAACAATTATAATACTGACGAAGCATCGAAAACCTACATAACCCGACAAAGTTCGGATGGCTACAAAAAAGCGGCTGTGCAATATATTGAGGTAACATCCCAAAATTTATAGTATAATACCGGTGATAACACACTTGTTGTTTCGAAATAATTTATAGGTCATTTATTTTTGGACACCTACTTTTTTCAATGTATTTGACTATGACAGAAAGTAGGTACTATTTACGTAGGTACTTTATTTAAGTATGCGCTTGAGATTTGAGATATAATCTAATTATATTTAAGACAAATAAAATTCATACAGCTAATTTCTATTGAAGATTTCACGGATCAGGATTCTAACTATAGACCCCTTAGGGAAATTAAATATTTACCACATGTAAGTACTTAAGTACTACTGTTTAGGTAAATATTTATCATATTGTAGCTTATTACACTATTTAACCAATATTTTTTATTACACTATTTAACCAATAGAGGCATGCACGAGCGTGTGTACGATACTGTGTTTAATTTTTCCTAACGCTTGTGTACGATAATGTACCATATTAATAAATGCTATATTGGAAAGTTAAGAACGTTTCTTAGATATATGGCACGGCCGCTTTTTTGTAGCCATCCGAACTTGGTCGGGTTATGTAGGTTTTCGATGCTTCGTCAGTATTATAATTGTTTTTCTTTAATTACTGAATTTAATGACATGAAATTTTGCATGTGAATTGTTGAATGAATACACTAATTATTGGCATACATTTTTTTACTTAATAATAACGCCACTATCTACGATGAAAACAAATCTTCAATTAACAAGTACTTCTCTATTTAAATCCGCGTACAACAATATTTTTAATTACATATAATATCTACATAATTATGTTATTATAATAATGTTAACAAACGCTTGCAATGACAGCAGTAGACTTAAATGTGTTTTAATTAAAATATATTATGAACTAGCTTTTGCCTGCGACTTCGCGTGGATGACGAAACTTAGGGTACGTATAATAGATCGAGCTTCAAAAAAAAAATTAATGACATCACATACACAAATCACATCAAGTTCAACAACAAACGAATACGTGCGAAAACATATTGCCCTCTCTTTTCTTCAAGGATGACAGTATCGCTCGTTGCGCGCAGCGCGTTGACTATTTTTTCACACAAGAATATTTTTGATCAATTCATAACTACAATACTTAGACTATTTAACTAAAGAATTAAGCGTACCGAACTTCGAACAAAATAATTCTGCATATTTTGGTGGGGTGCGGGGGAACACGCTCACATACATACGAAAAAAAATCGATTCAAGAAGTAGTTTTTTTTAAGTTATTAGATTGTTTGATCCACTAAAGTTGCAAAGGGGAACGCTCGTGCATGCCTAGTCTATTCGTTAAATAGTGTAATAAGCTACAATATGATAAATATTTACCTAAACAGTAATACATACTTACATGTGGTAAATATTTAATTTCCCTAAGGGGTCTATACTTAATTAGAATCCTGATCCGTGAAATCTTCAATAGAAATTAGCTGTATGAATTTTATTTGTCTTAAATATACCTAATTAGATTATATCTCAAGTCTCAAGGGCATACTTAAATAAAGTACCTACGTAAATAGTACCTACTTTCTGTCATAGTCAAATGCATTTAAAAAAGTAGGTGTCCAAAAATAAATGACCTATAAATTATTTCGAAACAACAAGTGTGTTATCACCTGTACCAATTCAATACCGGTATTATACTGTAAATTTTGGGATGTTACCTAAATATATTGCACAGCCGCTTTTTTGTAGCCATCCGAACTTGGTCGGGTTATGTAGGTTTTCGATGCTTCGTCAGTATTATAATTGTTTTTCTTTAATTACTGAATTTAATGACATGAAATTTTGCATGTGAATAGTTGAATGAATACACTAATTATTGGCATACATTTTACCATGCAATTCATTTAGAACGTCGTGGTATTTGACTGCTTTGTAAACAGTGATCTATTCATGGTAAATTTGTCCTATAACTATTTAATTACTAACGGAACATCATTGATACTTGGCAACATGTTGCAGACACTTACAAAGTTTGTATAAACGTGAAAATCTAGACCCCAAAGTGCATACTTTAAGAACTAAGACCTAATAAGCGTATTTTACGTTTATATTTTTATCTCTTAAACCCTACGATTTTTTCTAAATCTGTTTTTTAAACAAATATAAACAAATTCAAAACAGCGTACCTATGTAAAAATCTACAGCTCTCTATGTAAGCGCTTTATATGAAAACTAGCTAATGGCCAAACGTTCGCGCAGCGGAAACTTGAATTTCTCCGAAGTTTATGCATGCACTAGTTTTATTCATACATACACAATTACACACAAATACCAATGACGTATTATATATAGACACGTCATGAACCAACATCGCGGCGCTTAAAAACGGCGAAAATACTAGATAACTACTTCTACGAGTAAAGAAAGGGAAAGAAAATATGACATCGTATAGTGGAATGCCTTTGCTAGAGGGAGATAAATATACATCTTCAGTTATGCCGACGGCACGTGACTATACCTTCATGCGCCGGCCGCCATAAGATGGCGGGCGCCGGCGTCGAAAAAAATAAAATAAAAATAGGTTGTTTGGTGAACATACGCATGAAATGACACATTTTTGGAGTATAATTTGTATATCGTCTGAACACACACGACGACATGCTTTCTTTATGTTTCGCACAGGCTTACACACGATATAAATTAAAAACAAACGTAGCGTCGCGCGGCAGGTTGGTGCGTAACTAAGCGCGATGTTGTCAATTGCCTTCATTTCATGTTGTCATTTTAGAGCGCGGACAACGTATCTATAGTTTTATACATCATTGACAAATACACACTAATTTTTGGATACATTTCTTTTCTTCTAAAGTCTATGGATTAAAAAAAGTTCCGCCAGGACAACGTTCGCCCAGCGGAATCAGTTTTTGGTGAATTTCTCCACAATGGTTGCGTGCACAAATTTTTTTTTACCATACACAATTATACGACGTCATACACTAAATATCTGCATAATTAAAATCTTTAAATTCAACAACATTCCGCTGCACGAACGCACGCTATTTTTTAGTAGCTATTTTGTGTGCAATATTGAGATTTAGTAAGACTGCTGTACCTACCTATTTGTGTTTCTTAATTTTTATTTTTTTGTTAAACATAGTTTTTTATTTTTTCTTAAAAGTACTTATTTAATTTTGTTTTTAATTAATTTTTCTTTTTTAGTTGTATTGTTTTATTTTAATTATATGTGAAAAATTTGTACGCCTACACGGCAAAACATAGTGACCAAAAATTGTTTACCCACCACCATGATGTAATGAATACCTATGTTTTACAAATAAATTTGATTTGATTTGAAAAAAAAGTGTAGATGGGTTGGATAAATTAAGAAAAAACACCAATTTGTTTTTTTAAATTATATTAAAAATAACCCTACACCTGCGACTCGGGCAGAGTGGTAATGATGTCAGAATCTCCTGGGTCAGTAATAGCGAGTGTGCACACCCTGTAGTACTTTCCGCATGCTGTGCCTAACTCGATGTTGTTTCCACTGTAGTGGTGGACACCAGTCTTGGCGAGGAGAGCATAGTACTCAATCTCTGATTTCCTATAAAGAAACATGACAACTATTAAAACAAAAGTGGCAACTATAAATTAAAATATAACAGAGGTACAATATGTTTAACCACAGATGAAAAAGAGTTCACTTTTCATAATCATAATTTCAAAACAGTAGTAAGACAAAAGTGCACACACACTATCTTTACATGTTGTTGATTAAATAATTAGTTACTGTTAAGCTCACCTGTCAAAGTTCAGCAGAGCTTAGACTACTCCATAGGTTTCCCAAGTGCATCAGAAACAAGTCATGTTTTGTTGAACTGCTTTAACATTATTACTGGTCATTGCACTTTTAAATTAAATTATGTAATGACATCATAATGACAGATAGTAAGAAAATTATAGGTAAATCTAATTAAGTATTAGTTTGATGTCTGTGACATTAGTGTTAAAGCACCTAACTGTGAAATCATTTGCTTTTTCAAAGCAATACACAGGAATAAAAATGGGTTTCCAAAAGAAACAGCCTTCTGTTTTTAACTAATCTACCAGATTAGAAAAATTGTGAATTATCAAGTTGGTGATATTTGTTATTTTAGTCAATTAAAGTACTTATTTTAAGTAGTTAAGTATTTAATCAGCTACTTTGTGAATATATGTCCGATCAAAACATGACTGCTTCATAAAACACTGAGGGAATCCATACTTCTTTGTCAAAAGACTCCATATGCCTCCCTTTGACGAAATAAATTACTGGGAAACTCTACTTCTCAGTAGTCTCACCTTAGAGGAGGGGCGTTCTTAGCAATGATGACCAGCTTAGCTTTGCCTTGACGGAGAGTCTTCAACGTTTGCTTGTAGCCAAGGCAGTACTTGCCGGATTTCATAACCAGAGCCAATCGGGAGTTGATAGACTCGATGGTCTTTTTCTGTAATCAAAAGAAAGAACACCGTATTAATCAAAAAATTCGAATGAAAAAACACTCCATCTAATGTCAAGAGTCTCTTGTTCTGATAAAGAATTATTATGAGTTATGTTAAATGAATCATAACCTATAAATTAAATTTGTTCGATACGTTCTCAACCTTCCCAATTATGAAATTAGCAAGCCTATCTTGTATCATTATATTATCTTGGACTTAATTAAGGATTAGTGAATACTAAAGTTATTTAGTAACCCCGTTTTAGTCCATTAGAAAATAATATCTGCAAAAACACGTGTACGACACTTACTTGTTTCTTGGCCGCAACCATTGTGTATATTGGTGTATCCACGAATTACTGAAAGACAACAAGAAATTTTAGCTTTTAGGAAGAACACAAATACATATAACAAATCTAGTTTACTAAATTAGAAGATAATTCGAGAGAACAACTTTAACACACCTTCCGTAAAAACGCGTTGCACAAAAAAGGAAGATGTATAAGAACAAGTGTTGCCAACTCAAAACTCAGATTCGTTTTTTTATATTAATAAAGCTCTACAGCTCGGTCTTTTGGCATTCAGAATTTCAAGGGAGGGTCGGACTCGTAGTTTATTTTATCTAATGCGTATATACGAGGCCTTTTGAGATATGAGAATACTTTGTGAAGTCTGTTTTTGATAGTTGTTTTTTTAACCGACTTCCAAAAAGGAGGAGGTTCTCAATTCGACCGTATATATGCTTTTCTTTTTCTTTTTTTTTTATGTTTGTTCGCCGATATCTCCGTTATTTATGAACCGATTTTGATAATTCTTTTTTTATTGGAAAGGAGATAGTCCCAGAATGGTCCCATGATAAGGAAATCAGGATATGATGATGGAAGACTTGAATGATTCGTATTGGTTAGTACTTTGCACCAAGATTGGTCGAAACTGTCACTAAGGGTCTGATGATGAGAACGATGGACAGCTCAGGGAACTCCTGAACGGTTTACAGTAACTACCTCGTGTTTGGACTTCATTCATTTATATCGATGAAAACTTTGCACCTTTATGGATTACAATGAAGTTATGCAGTAAATTGTGATGATGGAGCTGGAAGGCAGTCGAGGGATCTCCTTGATTATTTGGAGTACTTGCCTTGTGTTTAGGCTTGAATGATTCGTATTGATGAGCACTTTGCACCAAGATTGGTCGTGACTGTCATTAAGGGTCTGATGATGAGAACGATGGACAGCTCAGGGAACTCCTGAACGGCTTACAGTAACTACCTCGTGTTTGAACTTAATTCATTTATATTGATGAGAACTTTCCACCTATATGGATTATGAATAATGAAGATCTGCAGATATACCTAATAATGGAGGTCATTGACATTCGACGGAATTCCTCAACGATTTACGGCACTGAAAGCTGACTAACTCAGGACGGACTCTTTTAAGAAGCATCCTAGCTTTCTCTGCCTATCACCTAAAATGGTGAAATAAAATAATTTTTAACAAAAAAAACCGACTTCAAAAAGTAAACTAAAAAGCAAAAAATAAGTTTACTTTGTTCAAAGTAATACATATTTTCATTTAGTTAAATAGAAAAAAAATTTTAATAACTATTTTATAATTTTGAAGTCGGAGCGCGTCGGCGGCAATCGTCGACCGGTCGACGGCTGCCACCAACGCACGTCGACGGCTGCCGCCAACGCACGTCGACGGCTGCCGCCAACGCACGTCGACGGCTGCAGTTGTAGTGTGCCGCGTCCGCCGTTTTGTAAGTCGACTGCAAATAGTTCAAGAGTGTGCACGCGTCCTAATTTGTAAAATGAATTCTTCTGTCGAAATTCATAGTGAATTGCTAATTACGGCGGTAAAGAAAAATGCTTGTATTTTAAAATTATAAATTGAAAGATTATAGTAATAAAACAATAAAAAACAGAGCATCGATGGTGGTTTGTGAAGAAATTGTAAATGATTTTATTAATAAATTCATAAATACAACTGACTCCTGTACTAGAGAGCAGACGACGGCTATCGTTGATCTTCAAAATTGAAATGTCGACGGCTGCCGTCGACGCGTCAACGGAAGCCTCCGACGCGCGTCGACGGTTGCAGTTACATCTGCCGTTGAGAACATGCCGCTCGTGTGTAAGAGCTCTTATTGACATGTACGTCGGTCATAATAAAATTTCTCTGTGTTAAATACACGACTTCTTTATTTTTACTATATTTCTATTTAAAACAGAACTATTCTAGTGGTTACATACTCTTTGCTAGTTATGATCAACACACGTACTTTAAAGATTAATGTAGGCCAAACAAACACAACTTTAGATCCATTACCAATTCGACTAATTTTAAAAAAACCTCATTTGTCGGTTTGTTGTTTTTTACTACTAGACTTTAACTATTTTATTATTATGTGCCTTCGGGTCCGTTTTAAAATAATGAGATGCCATTATATAGTTGTATTTCTTTAGATCAATGATATCAATGATATTAAATACCTAAATAAAGATATTTTTATACAATGAAAGGAATTAATGTTCAGTCTGGTCAATTACCTAGGTATCTTATAAACTTGATAGTCTAGCCGTTATTGGGATTTTTTTTGGTTCCCCTTAAAAGCAGTTGTATTTTTATTGCTAGATTGCTAGTGGTACATCTTTTTGTTACCGCGATCAACATTTACATCGTTTAGCCCTCTGTCGATTGGAAAAAAAGACTCGCAATATTCACTCTGTTTTCGATTCGACGAGAAGTAGACGTCATCGAAGTGTTGACGTTTGACGTTGATCGTTGACCTTTGCGGTCAACGTCATTTAATCACGGATCCTCGAAAGAGTTGGTGCTAGTTTCCAAAAACATTTATAATAATTAATGACTAGATGATATAATTGTACATTTGTAGACTTATTTGATTTTGCAAGGGTTTTCATAGTTTACGAATAAAATTAAATATTTTACTATATAATGGCTGAAAAAAGTGCAAAAAAAGTAAAAAGTTCAGGGCCTTCTGCAATTGGAAAAGCCTACCTTCTAGCGTATAATGCTATTCAAACTTTAGGGTAAGTGGCCGAATTGGATAAAAAATATATAAAAATAATATCATAAGAACAACTCGAAAGTTGTGGACATGAACCTACTTTTCATGGGGAAGTTGTTGCTGTGTCATTTGCTTATTTCTACCAGAATAGGTATATAAATAAAAAATCGAACGACTTTACTGGTGTGGCAGTGCTTCCAACCACTAAAGTAAAACTTAAAAAGTGTTACTTGATCAAACATTTGCTATTAACTTACAATCTGGGTCAGTCTCAATATTATCTAAAAGTGGTATCTAATTTAAGTATAATTTTAGAAAATACCTTAGTTTCAGATATGTCAATTTGTTTGTATATTAATGCTTTATCTTAAATTATTAAATTTTAAAGTTAAGTTTAATTTATTAATTCAATTTTGACTTTATTGTATTTATTATGAAGTGTAATCTTAGGGTATCTTAAAAATGTTCCTTACTAGTATTTTCGTGTCCTGGGAGTATTTATAAACATGGTCACATAGAAACAACAGATAACAGTTTGAGAAACATATTTGTTTTTTCATGTTCAAATCAAATTATCAACATGTTGGGCAGCAGTCAGTTGCCCGGCTTTGATAACTTAGTCATTTAATAGTGTCTAAATTGTTTTTTGCAGATGGTCATATATGCTAATACAATCATTTATACATTTCTTGGATCGTGGAAGTTTGGATACTTTTTGGCCAGTAATTAAAACAACAGTGGTTGTATTTCAAAATGCAGCTGTCCTTGAGGTAAAGTATTTGTTTATTTATTGTATCTTGCCTAAGGGTAATATTTAATCAGTCAAAAGTTAAAGTTAGAAGAAATTAATTCCACACAAGTTGTTTCATATTTGTATGTTTATCACAAAGTTATTATATTTATAGGAAGATAATTATGTCACAATTCTAGTTTAATAAACACCTCACACAACAAGTGTCAAAATTTTACTTGAATAATTGAAATGCTAATTAACTTACACTAGCAATAGTTAACTATACTTATTAAAAACTTTCTTTTTGGATAAGGGATCATCAAATAGCTTATCCCTCCCTGGGTGGGGTGAGAGGGAGTAACAGACTTGCTGACTAGAAGTCTTACTGCAGGCCGGAGTTGAGGTTCATTATTCTACTTGAGCCGCAACATTTCTATCAATTAATTTAATAGGTTTAGAAAATTAAAAAACTGAAATTTTTCATAAGTGTGTCTTCCACACATACAAAATATTACACTAAAACTTTCCAATGACCAAATCCATATTATTTTTAATGCAATTTGAAGTGCAATGTTATAATAGGCCCTTTTCAACAAATACAGGGTGATTTTATTTCATGTTTTAGGTAAAGCACATTTTTGCTATTTTGTTCATAATAATTATTGTGTTTTCCAATAAAAAAGTGATTATTTAAACTATATATTAAACACAAGTATGTACCTACTTGAAATGGAAATATAAATGATTGTATTTAAATCATATGAATATTTAAAGTCTTTGTTAAAGGGCAATGAAATTTAGCATATCATGAGTAAACATCAACGGTTATATTACAGGTATATAATACTTGTATATACATTCAATTAAATTTAAAAATATCGTTAATTTATGTGTCGATAGGATGTAGGAATAAAACTTGATGCTTTTTTATGTTATAAGATAAATGGTTTGGTTTTATTTACATGGATAATTTCTTGAGTAAAGTTCGTTCTAGTATAACCCCATAGGTTTGTTGTAGGTATGAACAATTAATCAAAGGTATTACTCAATTGACTAAACAACTATTATACTATTGTTTTAGGATAGACTATTAGTGTAGGAAAAATTAACCAAAATTATTTTATAATGAATAAGTAACTTTTTCATGACAAACCAGGCTTATCATCACAAATATTTCTTTATATTCCACGATGTCGTCATTTCGCGTGTTCATAAACCGGTTCAAGAATATTATTTTCTTGTCACGAAATGATCATGCTATTATAGGCTTTATTTTAAAGAGGAGTAAGTTGGTAGCTGATTGACATCTTGAAACATAAAGATGCTAAACGCGAGTCCAATATTTATGTATGTACCATAAGTAAATAATCTCAAGTTATCTATATTCATCAGTAGGTATATTAAAGTCACATGTCGTATGTCTTATAAGTAAGTAATGTAAAGCATAATTAACCCTAGACCGGGTGGTTCATTTCATACCACTTTACATTGGGTTATAAATAATTATTTCGAATATTAATTCCAGTGTCTAATGCAAACAAAAGCATTTTTGTGAATGCATACTGGACAAAATACAAACGAAATTATCAAATAATTTTCCTAATTTTATTTAATTAGATGATCTTGACTAATTATAATTGTTGGATGTTTTAATGATACGATAACAGAAGGAAATCGAAGAGATTGCAAATATCATGTTTGAATCGAAGTTGTAAAGTACTTAGCTAAATCGTTACCAAGGCGAAATGTAATTCTCTCAACAATTTAGGTGTATTTTTATAATATTACTTATTATTTGTTTCAGGTGGTGCACTCTTTAATCGGCTTAGTACCCTCTGGTGTAGCAGTTGTATTGCCACAAGTGTACTCGCGCGTCTTTCTTGTATGTGGTTGTTTGTTAGCTACTGAGTCCGCAACTGTGAGCCCCGGTCTGCCTTTGTGTATACTGGCCTGGTCCGTGACGGAGATCATAAGATACGCTTACTATACACTCAATCTAATCAATAGTGTACCAGAAACGCTTCTATTTCTCAGGTAATAGACTGTTATCTTAAAATAATTACATTATTCTAAGTCTGTTATGTACTGAAACTATTTATTAAAGGTACTAGTCATTGCGCACTACAGTAACAAAACCTATTCTGATTTTCAAAGTACAAAGTCCGCAGAATTCACTGTTCACCAGTGTCATGGACATTTTGTGTCTTCCTCCAATATCTTGACTCATTTGGTTTTCCAATAGAGTTATTATTGTACCTAAATTAGTGCCTTATAAATACTTAATGAAATGTTTTTTTTTTTCAGATATTCTACCTTCCTGTTTCTCTACCCATTGGGAATAACTGGAGAGCTTTTGTGCATGTATCACTCTCTGGATGAGATTGCAGAAAAACAATTGTTCACTATATCTATGCCTAACGCATGGAATGTGGCATTTAACTACTACTATTTCTTAGTCTTCTACATGTTCTTATACATTCCTATTTTCCCCTTCTTGTATGGACACATGTTGGCGCAAAGAAGAAAAATGCTCAGCAAAGACGCAAAGAAAACTAAATAATGACTTACTACTAATGATGTTAGTGACACTTATCACATTGATGAGTTTTATAGTATTTTAGTTAGGTCTGTATTTGTATACAGACGTACGAAGGTCTTTGGAAGAATAATATGCTACTCTATCTACACGCCGCGCTTGCGCCGCAAACACTGCACGTAACAAGTAATACCTTTGGCCTTTTTATACTTACTTCAGAAAGCGTCAGTAGGAATTGTTGGCCAATCACATGCATTTAATTTATGATAAAAAAATATTAAAATGATTACCTACACGAGCAATGACGATGTTCCGATACCTGCTGATACCAAAACAACAATGATACTAAATCATTATGATGACAAACAAAGGAAAATTTATATCAAATTATAAAAGATTTTGTGCATTTTAAACAAACCAAATAAAGGCCTCCACAGAGTTGACGATATTGGAAGTACCTGGAATTACCAGGTGCGTGTTGTGGATATTTACATGTGGACTTTTGGTCACCCGTAGTGTAAACGTGCTGATGGCACAAAAAGAATACTCAATCTTCGTATTGTATTTTCTTTATTGTAGCTTAAGGAGGGCTACTGGTTAGGTTAGCTAGGTGCTAGTTATTGTGGTGGCCTGGGTTAATGATTGCTAGCTGTTTAATTTATTATTAATTTATTTATATGGTCGATTGGGTTATGGGCAATGATATAAAAATATAATAAATTTATTTTTATGACATCTAGTTAAAAATCTTTTATTTTTACTGCGTTAAGTTTCCTGAGTTTGGATCCCCTATACCTACCACTGTTTGATCTACAAATTGTTCTGGATCTGGATGTAAGTCTGTAAGAATTTTGTATGCACAAGAGAAAATCCTTAACTTTTGATTTAGGTACTTACGTATATTTTACCTGTCTATCATAGAACAGTAGGAGAAGTTTAGATAACTTTTATAATACTAAGACTAAGATCATTTTTTTAGATAAACACTGAATAAAATAGCTGTTGCAAGGAGTGTATGAAAATGTTACGATGTGTTACATCCACAGGTTACATCATTCATACGCAGAATAGTAATATTTCCTCATTTTTCTGATAACCAACATCAATAATGATATATCACGCGTTGCTGGATGGGCTGATATAGCAAGAGATCGGTGTTTCGTACAATCTCCGTAATCTCTCCTACGAAGGAGCAGCTTTTGTTTCCTCATGGCAAGCTTACCTACCTAATCTTTAAGACCGGCCTCAAACGTTGGGTTTTGCCGTTAAGAATTCAGATTCAGAAACCTAACAGTCAGCATATTATGTAAGTACTTACATACAAAATGTTCAATACACAAAATAGGCACACAGTCTTATTTCCTAACGAAAAATAAATTCAATGTTTAATTCGTTGCGCAGGTACTTTCAGTCACAACAGTACTGCCTATGTATGTGCCAGTCTTGCGAAATTCCGAATCTGAATCCCCAATCTGGAAACATAAACCAGTGCGGCCAGCCTAGCTATTGTTTTTAAACAGTGTTTTGTTGCTTTTCTTGTTTGTTCGTTCCATAATGCAAACTCGAGACTTTAGATTCTCCGATTTAGACTCGCATCAATGATTTGGGATGGTGATCCTATTATTACCTTATACAAATTTGGTAAAAATAAGCAACTAACGCTGTCAAGCCAATAGACCACCACAGACGAGGCCCTATAGGGCTGATGTTCAGCCGGGGTTGCGGGGTAAGCGCAATAAGGCACCGCGACCTCGGCCCAGAGCAGGAGAAGGAACAGGGGGATTTTTGGTGAATATTATTCAAATATTATTAAAATCATCAAATGACTTCTCCCAATATAGAAATATTGGGAGAAGTCATTTGATGATTTTCCCCTCATAAAAAAAACCTAACGCTGTCAGCATAGGTTCTTCTCCAGCCACAGAAACTAAACAGTGTTCAGGTGCCTAACACCTGGCATTACCAAAGTGTTACCCTAGTCGAAATTTACCAGACCAAGCCAAATACCTAAAGTAAGTAGCAAAAACTGGGCCATTATAAAAAAAATAGAACTACGTAGGCAGGTAAGTGCCTAACTTAGAACTTGAGCTCAAAATTACTATAGATACTTAACTTTTTTGAGGGAGAATATCATCAAACCATTTCTCTAAACGACTATATTTTTACTTATCTACACATACTAAGGGATCTGCGCCTACTTGTTAATGTAAAAACGTGCTTCACGCTTGTAACACGTAAAAACAAATACCAGATAAGTGATTAGGTACTCCGTACCTACTTAGATATTAAGTACCTATCTATCACTATGGTAGGTTCGCGCGTAATTCAAGTAGTAGGTAGGTATTTATTCCCTGTAGCTGATATTCAAATTCGTTATTAATTGATGTTATTTTTGATAATACTCAAATAACAGATTACAATAGCGTAAACCTCATCAATTATGATCTCTATCTAATGTATAATCGACATTGATTTGTAATATTATAAATGCTGATATAGATATTTGGCAATCTTGTTATCTATTCACCTGCCTTGTTTTATTAAAAATATTCAGACAAATAAAGAAATCACAGTCGGTAGGTCGTTTTTGTACCACCATGGATAAAAAATATACAGCTTTGGTGCTTGCCTTTTTGGTAGCTGCGGCTGATGCCAACTCTATCAACCTGAAGAGTCAGCCAACATCTAAGCTTTTGGAAGCTAGGTAAGTTATGATTGATAAGGTTTTCTTAAACTTTTCACACTGATTAATGAATACAATTAGTTGTTTAAAACATACCTGCAGTGAAAAGTATCTAAATCATCAACATACTGTGACAAACTGGACATGGGCACTGGACTAAAAGATCTCTTTTTATCATAAGACGATTACCTTATACCCATGTTATAAACACTCAGACCTCTCATTTACGTAGACGTAGCACGTTGAGTGTACGTCGTACATTGCTTATAGTAAAGTAAATATGAGCTACAGTGTTGTACGAAAAACGCACGCTGCGCGATTTCTCTGCAAACTGAGTTATTCAATTTCACAGTTTTTAAGACACTCGTGAGAAGAGTTGGTACAGTCATGTAGTAGGTACCTACTCCACTTACTTTTGCATACAAAAATATTTTGTAACAAACAACGTCCCTTTTTTTTTGAAGGGGAAAAATTATCAATTTTGTTATTTCGTCCAGGGTGGGACTTTCAGACTATTACTGACTGAAAAATATCCCGGTCCATCTCCTGCTTTAAGTCAGGGCCGCGGTGCCCATAGTATAAGTTAGATTATGCATTATAGTATAAGTTAGATCTTACATCTTACCAAGATTTGTTCATCAATCGGGTTCCGATCCGATGCACTACTCAGGTTAGGTAAGTGTGGGAGAGCCAAGCTTAGGTCACGAATAGGTCGTACGTCGTACTCGCGTTGTGCACGAAACGGCTGAGGACCAAGGCGTTATGTTTTGCCGTGACTGTGAGGTTACCGAAGACCCAATCCCTCCCCTTCCCCCCATCTCTTCCCAATTCTTAAATATCTGAAACCTTTATCCCTAAAAGGCCGGCAACGCACTCGTAACTCTTTTGGTGTTGCGGGTGTCTATGGGCGACTGTGATTGCTTACGTAGCGTGATGTTTTATAGCCTATAGCACTCAGGAACATTGTAGCTACCTATCAGTGAAAGAATTTTCGCAATCCGACCAGCGGTTCCAAAGATTACCCCCTACATACAAACTTACAAACTTACTTTTACCTCTTTATAATACTTATTAGTACAGAAAAAATTAGGTATTGCTGGAGAACAAAATGGGTAGGGAGACATTCCAGTTATTTGCGAGTATAGTTTACTTGCCTGGTCTAGGCGACACTCATTTTTGCGCTAGATATACGACTTCGTATAAGTAGACAAAAGGTGCTTAGTGCGTCCTTCCTTAGTTATCTAACGAAGAATTTATTGCATGTTATGGTTAATGATGATACAATTTTAATTTACATACAGCCGCAACTGGGGCGATCTTGGACAATCTGCAACTGTCAACGACTATGTGGACAACACTATTGACATGATCATTCCCCTTATCGTGAAGCATGGCCTTGATCCTATGGACTTGCCCGAAGTAATCGAGGGCTTTGAAGTGGTAAGTACCTTTCTGTTAATATATTACCAAACCAATGTTGGGCATGTAGGTAGTTTTATCTTTTGAATATCCCAGTCCCACTAAATCTCAATAATATCAGCCTACTTAAATTGCCAGAATTCAAAATCTGTGAATCGATCTTGGTTGTTTACAAAAGGTACCTACAACTAGTAATTATTTATTTCGTCATTGTCTTTTGTCTTTTAGTTTTAAAGTACGTAGGAAGCTAATAGAACTTATTTTCTTTGAAAACACAAGGTTCTTTACCTTTACTCAGAAGGAATGTAGAAAGATAATAGGTACCTAATTATGATTGTAAACTGGTTAATTACTTTCGAGATATTTTGAAACGAAAACTTAATTACATAAATATCTTTGTAATTTTTTATCTGATTTGAAAATTATTTAAAAACGACACTGCTATAAGTAATCATCAGAGATAAGAACAGGAGATATCGCAGATACTTTAGTACTTACCTACGAAGCTCGTTTTTTTTTATTTACCGCCGTCAATTTATTACATTAATCATAGCCTGGTCTACCGTATACCGCATTCAGTATATAGTATACCGTATACGGAATGCCGGTACTTAAAGAAAATCTGTCTGTCTTTCATGCGATGTTAAATATGTAAGTACTTACCAACACAGGGAATCACAATCTTTGTTCCTTGCACTTATTACTGTTCATCTTACCACCTTGGTACTCGAATGTTCCCGGTTACAGTGCCTACTTAGGTAACTATGAAACTGGAAAGAAATCATACCTATTTGCGATCTATCAAATACAGATTTATTAACTAACGGAAATAAATGTAAATTGTTTTAGAGGCCCTTGCTAATTACATACAGCGCGTGGTTGAAGATCTACGATGGTTACATGACTGGATTGGTCAACGTGTCTCGCTCCGGCGACCAGGAAGTTCACTACTTCGCCAAAATGCTGCGTCTGCGCATCAAGCTGCAGTTTAGAGACCTTGAGGTAAGATTTAGCATCTAAAATATTGTAGTTACATACTCTTCTATCTAGAAACGACTCTTACTTTGATTTGTATTAGCAAGTACCTACATAGGTAGGTAGTCCATTATGTTAGATATGAGTCTTGGTCAGTAGACCAAAACAAAATTATACAATGAAATACTGTTACAGTTTCCTCGCTGGTCGTTAGTTTTTTACTGTAAATAATTATGTTTACTTGCATAATAAGCAGTTTATAGTATCTACTTACCACGTTTATTTTATATTTAACGACATAATTAAATCAAAATTTACTATAAGTGTTGTTTCTATTTAATTTACGTTAGTTTTTAATAATTTCAGTTCATCTACAAGTACTTGATTAAAGCTATGAACATTGGACCCACTGGTGGTATCATAGCCAGCCTCAACCGCTTCGTGGTCATCGTTGACATTCTTCTCGACTTCAACAATGACGAGATTCAACTGCAACAATTCAGACTTACTGACATTGGGTATATTATTTACTTTTATTGACGGATGTTACCTATGCCTTTTACGCTTAGTTATCCACTAGTACAATGGTTGAATTATTTAATGCAACTCGCCATCTCACAT